CTGGCACGAAGCTGATGGTGTACAAATCCATGGTGCACGCGAGGTGGCGGTTGTGCTTCGGAGGTTTGCTTGAGAGGCTCCACTCGGAGGATTTGGCTTAATAGCCTTGCCCACAAGGCAGTGGGGGATTTGTAGGTTTGCTTGAGGGACTTCGCCCAGAGCATTGGGCTCAATAGCCGTACTCACAAGGCAGTGGATGGTTTGGAGGTTTGCTTGAGGGACTCCGCCCGGAGCCTTTGGCTCAATAGTCTGAGACACACAGCAGTGGAGAGCAGATCCAACTCGTTAATTTGATTGCAGAGACAGAGTGGGATCTGCTTGACCGCCGTCACACGCTAGAACGATTGATATGTTTTGCGACCATAGTAGGATACACCTGCGACCACGGCCAGACGCAGGTGGGTTTTGGCGAGTTTCCACCAATTTGACCAGGGACTGTCTGGCTTGATGCGGGCAGTAGCAAACCATTGAACACCTGGAGGTGCCCTCTCACCGTCAGAGACAATGCGTGGCGCTCGTGCTCTACGCCAATCGAGCTGTGAGCTTATAACCCGTAGACCTGTTGTCTCCCATGGCTAGGTTTGACGGCAAGAGGGCCAACGACCACTTCCTAACCTCCGATACGATGAATCTTTCCTCAACTAATTTTTTGGTGCTTTGGCCACCGCAGAGGATAATCAACGGTGCCCTATCTGCTGCATCGAGCAAGGTGGACTGAGGTTTGGATGCTACTGCTCAAGCCTTCCCGTCTTCTTATTCCCCATCTTACGCTTTTTCATTCTTTCCGTCCCGTTCCGACTTCACTTTTATCCCCCCCAGTTTTCAACGCCCGATTTTTGGCCCTCCCACAACATGCTCTGTTAGGCATTTATCTTCTAATTTCAACTCACATGTGAACGCGGAGCGTCACTCCTCTCCTGTCGACAAGCCCATGTCCAATCAAGCGGTCCATTCCAGTTCATCGGCTTCCATTTGGAGCCCTCGATCCTCCTTCAAATTGGCATGCCTCAATGTACACACCTTGCTACAGATCGGTTAACAAGCAGCACCTGCCCGAACATTAGAGACCCTCTCGAACGATATCTGCTGCTTATCGGAGACCCGACTGCAAGATTCCAGCTCTGTGCTCACTTTGCGATCCCCTTCAGGTGACGCAAACAGTATTTTCTCACTGCGCTTATCCGGTGACGATGCAGCTTCGAGCATCGGCCAAGCTAGTGTTGGCATTGCCCTGAGTCCCCGGGCTGAAGCTGCTCTGGTTGATTGGATTCCAATCAGTAGCCGGTTGTGTGCGGTCCGATTGGCTGGCTCGTTTAAAGCTTCGAAGTCGCGTGGGACTAATAGATGTCTATTCATCATCGCTGCCTACGCCCCCACAAATTGTAGCGATGATTCGGTAAACAACGACTTTTACCGCCAACCGACCCAACTCCGTCGCTGGGGATCTGAACGCGCAAGTTGGAAAGTTGTCCACTGATGAAATGCATTTGGGAGGTCAGCACGGTGTAGGATCCTGTAATGATAACGGTGAGCGGTTACTTCATCTGTGTGAAGATGCTCGCTTATTTTTTGCGAGCACTAATTTCCGACACAGCACTCGCCGAAGGGTGACTTGGTGCCCACCAGCCTCGAACAGCCTTGGACGCAAATCGATCAAACTGCGATAAGTTACCGCTGGAGAGGCTGCGTCCAGCACTGTCGCTCGATTTGGAGCACATGTGTGGACACCGATCATGCACTTGTATGTGCTGACACGCGGATGCGTTTTCGCGGACAACCACCACGACGCTGTGAGCACATTGACACCAGCCAGCTGGCGAAGCCAGCTGTTCTGAATGCGTACGCTGACATACTATTTGAGTAAGCGCTCACTGGAGACAATTGATGGTCACTGGTCACATGTTCACCAGACCTTACAAGCAGCAGGCAAATCCTCATGTGGTATGTCTAATAGCTAACATGGATATTGGGTCCCTTCGCACTCTCTGGAACCTATCGATGCTCGCCGGCATATTCCGGCTGGAAGCGAACACAATGAAACTCGCAAAGAGCTCCGGGCAAAACTCAGTGCTAGCCTGAAGAGAGACCGCGAATCTTGGTGGTCTCACCGTGCGTCAGAGATGGAAGTGGCCGCTGCCCTTGGCAACAATCGTAAGTTATTCCGGCTAATACGGGAACCGGGCAACGGGCAACAGGAGACCTGGTGTTAGTGAAACTCTATACGTGACGAGAGTGGACAGCCTATCCACAATTTGTCAAAACGCTTGGAGCGTTGGGATGAGCATTTTGAAAAGCGATTTAGTCGGCTAGAATTGTTCAATTCTTCGCCGGCCAGTGATCGCCCTGCTCCTTGGGCTGTTGCTTTGGATCTACGCTCTCGCTCAGAAGTCGAACGTGAGATCAGACTGTTGAAGTTGAACAAAGTCGCCGGAACAGATGATCTTTCTTCAGCCCTCTTCAAATTCGGAGGCTCTGCTCTTGTTGATGCTTTACATGAATTAATAGTGAAACTGTGGGAGCAAGAGTCTGTCACAACCGACTGGAGCCGCTCCGTCATAGTCTCAATTTGCAAAGGATGCTCGCGTTCGGAATGCAGCAACCATAGAGTAATCAGTCTGATCTCCATCGCCTCCATAATCCCTCACAGAATGACTGGCGCTCGTGAAAGCCAGATTCATGAGGAGCAAGCCGCGTTTCGTCGGGGTCGTGGCTACATCGAACACACCTTCAACTTGCGTCAGTTGTTGGAGCACGGTCACACATATTGGCGGCCCACCGTAGTCGTGTTCCTCGACATCAAAGGTGCCTTCCATTCGGTTGATCGATGTGCCCTTTGGAATTGTCTACTCAGGAAAGGTGTGCCTGAGAAATATGTAAATATTATCCGAGAATTATACGCGCGTAGCACGGACAGAGTGAGGGCTTACGGCAAGCTGTCGCCACCCTTCAATATCTCCAGCGGTGTGAGACAAGGATGCCCGTTGTCACCTTTCCTTTTCAACTTCGTCATTGACGAAGTCATGGAGATTACATTTACAGGACACGACTTAGAAGGTGTGAAGCTGCTCCCAGGAGAACGACTTCTCGACTTGGAGTATGCTGACGAAATTGCCCTCATCTGTGACAGCTCCCAGACGTACCAAGCCGCGCTGGACAGATTAACACTGGTTGTCTGTCATTTCGGGCTTTGCTGTGCACCATCGAAATGCAAAGCGTTCCTCCAAGATTGCCAGGGATCGCCTCCTGCGCTGACGCTTGACGGGGATCAGTTAGAAGTCGTTCGAAAATTCAACTACCTGGGATGTTGTATCAGCGCTCATGGGATTGAAGATGAGATCACGAACCGTATAGCAAAATCTCGAGGTGCTTTGCTAACTTTCGCCACCTATGGCGCCGGCGCGACATTACTCTCGCCCTGAAGGGTAGGGTGTACAATGCAGCGGTACGTTCGACCTTACTGTACGGTTGCGAAACCTGGCCCCTTAGATCAACGGACATAAAGAGGCTAGTTACGTTCGACCATCGGTGCCTTCGCAGTTTGGCTCACATCTGGTGGGAACAACGCGTGAGTAACGAGCGTGTTCGACGCCTTGTTTACGGCACAGAAAAAGGAAATGAACCGCTCAGCACCGTCATTTCACACACCAGGCTCGGTTGGCCGGGCCACCTGTTGCGCATGCCAGCCAATCGACTTCCACGACGTGCGTTGTTTGCTCACCGGGGATGTGGATGGAAGAGGAGGGGTGGCCAAGCGATGACTTGGTCCAGAGGAATGAAAGCCCTCACTTCTGTTCTGGCCTCGGTTGGAGCGTCATGGTTCCCTGGTTAGGGTCCAAAAGACGGTGAACAGGTTTGGCTGGATACACTTGCTGACATGGCAAGGAGCCAACCTCAGTGGCGTTCGTGCTGTGAGTTTCTTTGTCCCTCTCCCTCCACCTACGATCTCATTCCTTAGCGTAAAACACAATAATTTTTGCTTTTTGCCTAGTAGCCGTCTGCTAGCTTACCGGAACGATGCCTATCCGTTGCTAGCAGCTCAGCTGGCATATAAATTTTGTATTTGTTTTCCTTTTTCATTTATGTATTGCGGCACAGGAACTGAGGTGTTTCCCACCTCTAGCTGACGTGTATAATGATGAATGATGATGATAACCTCCGAAGAGGATGGACTAGGATACTGGCAAGGCGCCCACACCTGAGAGGAGAACGACTCGGGTCCTCAGCTAGCCTTCGATTAAATGTACACCCGAAAGGCAGCGGGTCTAGCACATGGTCAGTTCACTGACTCATGTGGATTGGTGTCCTGACTCTTAGCAGGGAGAAGGGCGTAACGCAACTCCCACTCAGCGGTCGTCACGAGGCGTCCAGGACATGAGCAAATCACACAACAGTAGCAGTAGTGGGTAGACCATCTGTCAAGATCTAGCCGCCACTAGCTTCAGCGCACCATTATATATATATATATATATATATATATATATATATCTGGTTGACGACATCCGGTTTCGGATTTGCCAGGAGTAGGCATAGAGCAATGTGACAGTTTTCGTCTGCTTAGCAAGCTCAATAAATTGCTGAAAGGAACCAACTGCTTCAATATGAAATCGACCAACTCAGTTCATGAAGACACATTAGTAGAAAACAGTTGGAAAGGCAAATTGAATCGAACAATTATTATCACGGAACTCGTCGGTTTGACACCGTACACTTGTACACAAGGTGCAAGTAAAGCGGGTGAAATCAAGCTAAGTGTATCATTTAGGCAAATAGTTGAGAGAACGGAATCTACTGAATTGAATGTAAAGCAAGGACTAGTGGAACACCACTACAGCCTAAGGCAGATAACGTCAGTCACAGACCACAACAGAATCGGAAAGACAGTCAGCTATCTTGAAAAAACGCTAAGCGGTCTTGGTAAGTTCAGCTGAAAGAGCGAAAGTAATCGTAACATGTACCAAAACTCGTACAGGTGGAGAAGCGGAAGTGATACCTGTACTTACATCACAGCACTTAAGCTTGCATTTATGACGCCCGCACACCTTTTTCTTCTTGCACACTCGTTCGCAAAGCAGTTGCGCCACACCTACAAATGAAAAAATAACGTGCTCGTGGATAGGTCCGATGAGGAAAGAGCTTTAGTGAATGTACACCAAAATGTAATGGCCTATAACAACCCAGTAAATAAAAACAAAACCCAAAATACTCCCTCCAACAGCAACTTGGCAAGATAGATGCCAACTGTAGCTCGCTGGTACGTATAAAGGTGAGTCGATAGCATTATATACCTAAACCGAGCGTTGGAGATTATTAGAGACGGCCCGATGACAGTGAATCCCTGGTGTGATGCAAAGTAATAAGAATGTGTGAGGTATGGCGCATCGAGCGAATGAACGGGAACTACTCAAATAACACGTGAAATTGATTGATATAGAATGAGGACGTCCGGTCCTAGTGGGAACCGTACAAGAGGTAGCAACTAGCAAAAAATAATACTGAGCGCCACAAATGAGTACAGTTGATGGAAATTTTCCGCGTTGCTGTTCAGCTATGCTACCACATCTGCATATGTACTGCAACGGCGACAGGAGGAATTGGCAACAATGGTCACGGGCTGTGTGTTGAGATAACAACGGTCAACCAAGCACCACAGAACACTTACCATCTGAATGTGCCAGCTCCTCGAACTGCACACATTTCAACTCCTTCGAGGTGCGGCCACAGCGACATTTGAGGACTATAGATAATTCACACGGGTTGCAAGGGCCACTGTGACACACCTTTGGGCATGGATGTCCGCATAGAGGGTGAGGTCGAGCACATTCGTTTGGGCAGGTAGGAACAGGGTCCGAACAATTCCGCCGATCACCAGCAGGATCATTCGAAAGGACCTGAGCAGAGAGCGGGGTGTTAAGTCAGAATGGAAACAATATTTGCCAGACTGTTTACGGTGCCTAGTCTACTGACGACCGAGAAAATGAGTGGAAGAAAGAGTACGAATTAAGTACTGCAAGCGAAGTTTGCCCCAGTAAAAAGCCTGCCGTTGAATATGACGTGATACGCAAAAGCTATTAGTGCACAGACGGGTGCTACGGTGTAACAAGCATGGAATATGAGCTAACGTAGCATGATAAGACATGAAAACAGATCATTGTATGAAAAGGATGGGAGTGTGTTGAGAGCGAATGGCACCAGCTAAAGATAATGGGAAATGGACATTGCAGTCGCAGTAGTGTCAGTATGAAATCAATTGCCATGAACAATATGGACTATATAAGCGAACACGAATCAAAAATAAAATGTCAAAGTAGCCGCACAACTCAACAGCACCCGAGAAAAGGACTAAATTAAACAGTCAGTATTATCGTTCAATATTCCCATTTTCTAAATGCAAAGAGCACTTTCTTGGTTTGATCTAGATTACACGAGTAAATAATTGAAAATGAAAATGCAGTCGCTCTGTGCACAGTCAGTTCGAATTGACCAAACATTGTAAGAAAGTGTCCCGCTGCTAGTCCTCGTGAGAGGAAAAACAAACTAACAAGATCACCGGCGGGATTGATGCAAAAGGGTGCATAGCCTTTGCCTGCACAGGCATGAATGTTTTAGTAGTACCAAAGCACACACCAGTGATGATTCACCAAACAAGGCATCGCGGTGCCGTTTCAGCATGATCCACTTATCTGTTCCACGCAGAAGGAGGGACAAACGAAAACAAGCTACTGCCGATACCCTTTCCTCTTTTCCATTTTTGCTCACACTTCTCCAGGTTTACATTGTCAGCCAAACTTCTGTAGTCTCCAGCATAATTTACGACAGCGGTAATTATACTGAGACGTCTTCATTCGTCTGCGTATAGACGGAGTGCCAACAGTCTCGACATCAAAAGCTTACTAGGCCACACTACTCAGGTGGTTTGACATCTCGAGATAGCTAAGCCAACAGACAGCACCTGCACGCATCCCGCACGCCAAAACTACTTCGCCCCTGAAACTAGAAATCATATTCCAGACGGTTATCGAACTAAGTGTGCTTGCTCACTCTTGTCCGATTGGTTATATGCATACAGAGAGGCTGATATAGCAGCCACGGGTGAAGGAGGATTGAAGATCGCTCACAGCTCCAAGACTGAGTACCCGTGCACACTAAATGGATTCCTCCATTTGAGTGCAATTCGATTGATAGCATTGGCTAAGATGAGCATATGGGATGACGCAGACATTGCCTGTTCCCGAGCATTATCTGTGATGATGTTGTCAAAGGTGCCTTATACCAAGAAGCTAGCACGCCATGGCGCAGGGCAACCATCTCAACCGTTAACATTTACATCATGAGACACCATTTGGGACACTACAGCATGGAGTTCAAGGAAACTAGTAACGATACAACCCCCACAAACCCCCGTGGTTACCTGAGAATTCTCTACCGGCGGCGGGTACACACAAATCAAGAGGACCTCTACACGGATGGTGATAGCACAGAAAAGAGCAAGTGAGTGAATCGAACGCACCAATGAGAGCAGGGAAAAGGTGGATACCGTTGGTCCGCTGTACTTGTGCATCGCGACAGTTTTAAACACACGTGATAACTAATGCAGGATTCCTGTTATAAAGTAACGAGGCAGATAAAATGGAGCTCAGTAACTTGTCATCACAGACGTCAAGTAAATATTCCCACAATTAACACAAACAGTGCAAATACACTCGATCCGCATAGTTAAGTTGAATGGCTTTTGCTAAATACAACTCCCCAAACTGGTGGAATACCGATTACCCAGGGCAGAATAAGTTCGGGTTAGCAAAGCGACTGAGATCTGCAGCCTCGTGTCCGTCGCCAAATTGTCATGGTCAGCAAGGTCGTGCCGGACCGTTCTGATTAGCTGACCACTCCGATTAGACGATCAAGAAGGCAAGGGTTGGGGTACCAGTTTACTGGCCGCCAGACACGAAACAAATACATGGCACAGACTACCGTTATTTATGTGCTGATGGCGACCTACTTGAATGTTCGCTGTTCCCTAATATTCTTTACATACCAACAATAGTATGAGATTAGCCAAATATATTCTTTTGATCGGCTAGTGCGCTTACTCTACCGAATTTCTGGAAAACGGTTGGATTTTGGTTCACATAGGATTCACTGATCTATTCTTTAGGTGCTTCTCCTAACATTTCCGATCTACACTCTAAGTAACCGGTTGTTGTCCAACCCGAGTAAGAAATGGGAGTGGGGGCGCTAGTCATCAGAGATTATAACGCCTTCGCTGTTCCTTATATTCTCACTGGTGAATGACTTCTTGAAACCATTGACAAGGATAAATCTTGATGGCCTGCGCTAAATGTCGGCATCTCCTGCTGCCTGTCGGTTGAGAACTAGATGTTAGTCCGAAGGCTCTGATTTTCTCCTACCTAACAGTTCGAAGCAAGGATGGATTCTTTGTCGGGATTCCAGTAGGTTCTCTCTGACTTCTCCGATGCGCCAGTAACAGAAATCTTATTCCACCGAAATTCGATGCCCTTTGAACCAGTAAGTGAGGCGTTTGCACGTGGCACAGAAAGGCAGGCTTGTCTGACCAAAGTATGAGATGGAATCCTGATAGCAACAGAGGGAATCGTTTGCTATTCGTTGCTATGAAGCTCGAGACAAATATGTGAGGCATCAGTACCTCAACAGAATTGACACACTTAACTCAAAACGATGGGCACACGACCCAAAACTTGACATAGTTAATCTGGGTCCAATGCTGACCAAGCAACATTCATTGTGCCGGGAGGTAGTGATGCCGAGAAACAACCGACAATCGAAGCACAACTTCAATATCGCTCGTTACCATCCATGTGCTCGGATTTGGGCTTAGACCTCACCTAAGCCAGCTTCTGAGGTGAATGGATATCTGCTAAGCCCCCGCAGACAAGAAGAGTGACATTATACCATTGTTGCAGAGCCCAGTCGGGCCTAACCCCCACAAAACAAAAGGCGGGGATTATGTAAACGGGCTTCAATGTTACCCCTCTTTCGGAATGGGCAGCCAGAGAGTATCAGCTGCCCTCTCGACACGGTCGACAACACTCCCACTTCTTGTCTTTCTTTCCCCTCTCAATTCTCTTCTTCCCTATATATTGAGCAAGACTGCCGCTGACCTCGCAACTGCTGCCATCGATACATATAGCTCCTCCAGCAAACCTACAGCTTCATTTCACACTGGATCTTTTAACATCTGCACTTTGGGTCAGATCGGCCAGCAGAAAGCATTAAATCTCATTCTCCACTCTCTTGGCATTTGTGTGTGCTGTCTTCGAAACACACATATAAGATAAAAGTGTCATGACGAATCTTTGACTCCCTGCTTCTGAATCTGACGACGATGACTACACTCTCCGTGTCTCTGGAGATACTGAGTCAATGGCTCAAGGTATTTTCGGTGTTGGTATCGCCCTCAGCAATCTGCTCGACTGCATACCAGTGTACAGCCGAATGGGTGCGCTTCAACTTCGAACTTCTATTAAGGTTGGTAAGCATTGTCCAAAGACAAGGTATCTTTTCATCGCCTCAGTTTATGTCCCTACTAAATGTAGATCACAAGGTATCAAAGAGGAATTCCATCGGCAGCTTTCATCTCTTCTTCGTATGGCGAAGAATACTGACACCGTGATTTTCGCAGGTGAGATGAATGCCCAAGCGGATCGTCTTTCAGACTCTGAACAACATATGAGAGGCCGCTTCGGAGTCGATGCGCCCGTACAGACTGGTGATTGATTCCTGCAGTTGCGTGCCGAGCACAACCTTTATCTTAGCAGCACTGTTTTCCAGTACAAACGCTCACATCATGTTACCTGGCGCCCACCGAATTCCTCAAAGGCCTGAAGCCAAATTAACCATATTACCATCAGCTACAGATGACGCACATCAGTCCAAGACTGTCGGTCAATTTAGAGCACATGCCTGGATTCCGATCATGCTCTAGTGAGCGCACGCTTGGCACGCTTGCAGTGCACGATATGCAGACCATATCTTAAGAACGCGACCGCAGCGCGTGCGTACAGAACGACCTCAGTTGTTCCACACAAGATGAATCCGCCGCAACATCTTGGTCTTTTGCGGAGTCCACTCGGCAGTTCTGATTCATTCCTCTCCTTCATGATGCGCAAGGACTACGTGCGACCCCAAGTCGAGTACGCTGTCAAGGCCTGGCAACCTTGGCTAAGACGTGACCTAGTAGTGCTCAAAATCGCAGGACGTCCTACCATGAATAATGTCACCGGCACCTTTCGTAATAAGAACGACTGGAGAAACTCGGATTGTTCATTGGACGCTGTCAGCGGTTACGCGCAGACCTCATAATCGCATACCAAACAATCGGAGACCGCAGCATAAGAATGTGGCACGGTTTCGAGATACCTTTCATCGGGATCCGGGTTGCTACCCTACCGGCGGTATCAGGACTGAGTTACGCCGGAAGCTGATGAAATCAGTTCGTCATCATCACACAGGTTGCCACCCGAGCGGCGGTAACACGGCTAAGTCACGTGGGAAGCTGATGAAATCAGACCGCCAGCATGAAACCGGTTGCTACGTGACGGCGCAAGCAGGTCTGAAATCTGTCCAGCACAAGTGGCTTGAGTCAGCCCAGGAATTTACAACAGGAGATGGTAGATTGTGGCCTATAAAATGAACCTTGTTCTGTGCCTAATACACTTCAGTCTAGCAGGTTTTCGGTGTTCTGTTTTGTCCCCGGCTGGGTTGGCGTGGCAGAGAGCAGATGGAAGGAACCAAACAATGAAAGATCCAGTCATGTTTACCGCCATCTATTGAGACTCAGCCCGAACACTAAGCTGAGAAGCAATAGTAAAAATTGAACCAACTACACAATTGTTAATACTGCCGACGAACTTAGTTCTCCCTTCAGGTCTGCCTGGAACGCCCTGCTAAACCCAGTTCGTCTGTGCCCCCACTTTATCCATTCCAAAATACGTTTGGATATCGTACTCAGCTAAAGATGCTTTGTCGTATGAACAGATAGTCTGGCATGTATAACGGTAAATTAGCTGATGCAAGTAAATCGGTGAAGGCGGGTGAACAATCCGATTGTTCTTCACATGAGGCGATAGCTATGATAACATGTTGCGATGTTTCGCATGACACTAGCCTATTTCAGCAACCATGTTTCTAACATGCTCCTATCCTGCCGTTTTGATTTTTCGCATGTATAATCTTTGCATTTGCACTTCTCTCGCTGATCAACATACGCGACCTGTTAAGCTAGGGGTTCACAACCTTGGGGGTGGATAATTACACCCAAAGGGGTAAAATGGCATTTTGCGGGGGGTAAATATTAGTACGAGGATTGGGTCATCAATCGGTCGCTAAACAAGTTTAATAACAAAATCATCCGTATCAAAACATGTCGCTAACTACCTATGCACTTCGGTACAGTAGCTGAGGTGTTTTTTGCGGTACAGTAGCTGAGGTGTTTCCCACCTCTAGCTGACGTGTATAATGATATAATGATGATGCACTTCGGATTAGCCATCAGTGGCCAGTCATTAGTCACTGCAACCAGATGACGCCTCTATCGGCTCCCGTGGCTGTCGTCAGGCAGTCGTTCGCCGGGTCGAATTATGGAGTCGATTGCAAACTATAGTAGTTGAGCCTTGGTCAGACGACCAGGCAAGGTGACGCGCGATTGTTTCCAGGTTAGAAGGGTCAAAACGGGCGATTAGTGTTCACCACGTATCGATACAGAGTGGTGGTGTCAAGTTATCATGCAGGAATCACTTGGAATGGAGGAATGCAACACGTGAGGAGGCACTGAGATCTGTTCATGTTCGATCATGAATCATACACGAAAGGGTCATATGATGATGATGATGGAGATAAGAGCAGCCGTTTGAAAGTGCGCAGAATACCGCGTTTTGGGTCACAAAAATGGCAGAATCAGCGGATTGGACGCCAGTGACCATTGGGTGTTGGGTTGATCACATTCATCTACAGTTGTTTTTGACAAGAAACCATAGCAGGTGAGTGATTTAATTCAATGGTTTTGATATCGACAATAATGAGTTTATCTGCAAACGTCCATGATAATGTCACCTACATTAAATCAAGAAAATATTATATATATATATATATATATATCATTTAGTTGCCTAATTTTTTGCAGGGACCATGTCTTCTGGAAAAAATCAGTCATACAAGGAAGCTTTTCTGAAATGGGGCTTCACCAATTTTGTTGATAAAAATGTTGAGAAGCCGCAATATGTTTTGTGCAGCAAAGTGCTCATGGGGGAGCGTATGAAACCCAGCAAGTTGAAAGACCACTTCGACCGAAGTCATTCTCAGTTTGTAGGAAAAGAGATTATATTCTTCAAACGGAAAGAAGCTGCGCTCAAAGTTCGCGCCTGGATACATCGGGCACATTTTTTCAGTCAACTGAAAGCTGGTCTTGAAGCGTCGTACCGCATCGCTCTCCGAATCGTCAAAAACAAGGAACCACATACTATAGGAGAGGGTCTCATAAAACCTTGCACAATCGATGCCGTGAAGCTCGTTCTTGGAGAGCAGCATGCAGAAAAGATAAGCATGATATCACTTTCTAACAACACAATCAAAAGTCATATCGAGGATATGAGCAAGAATATTTTGAATAAGGTGCCCAACGAAATGAAGTCAAGTCCTTTCTTTGCAATACAGTTAGATGAGTCGACCGAGGTTGCATCCTGTCCCCAGCTACTGGTCTATGTTCGGTACATAAAAGGCGACCGCTTCAAAGACGAGTACTTGTTCGCAGTATCATTGAGCACAACTGCACGTGGCGAAGATGTCTTTCGAACAGTGAAGGATTTTGTAGAGGAAAAGAATCTATAGTGGTCGAGGTTGGTGGGTGTCTCTATAGACGGAGCACCATCCATGTTGGGCGTCCGTTCTGGATTCCAAACGATAGGCAAAAAATTTGCTCTGCACTGTACGTTCAGTCACTGCATAATACATCGTTATGCTTTAGCAGTGAAAACTCTTCCGCCTGTTTTGCTGGACACGTTAACCAACGTAGTGAAAATAATAAATGTCATCCGCGGTAGTGCGACATATGCAAGAGTTTTCAAAGAGTTGCGCTATGAATTTGGGGGCAAATTCGACGTGTTGTTATTGCACACGGAAGTGCGTTGGTTATCACGAGGCGGGGTGTTGCACCAAGTGCTCGAGCTTCGAGAAGAAATTGCAATGTTTATTGAAAGGAAGTAGCTGCATAAGGGTAAGGCGAACGGGTTACACGGCATGATAACAGACAACATATTTATTTAGCATATCTTGCAGACTTCTTCGGAGAAATAAATGTACTGAACCCTAGCTTGCTAGGAAATATGGTTAGTATTTTAATTGCCCAGGATAAGGTTGCCAGTTTTCTTCGTAAAATGCAGCTTTACCAACGCAAAGCAACAGTTGACGATGTGTCGATCTTTCCAGAACTATCAATGGTGCTCGTTGGAAGAAATGAAACATGCGCTTTCACAGATGATAACTTGCCACTTGTCATCAGTGGTCCATTCCATCAGCAAATATTCTCCTGATTTGGAAAATTGCCAAGTAAATGCTTGGGTGCTAAAGCCCTTTTCAGTGGATGAGGAAATCTTTCCGGATACTGCCATCGAAGCCAAAGCAAAATTCCCAGGAATGCGCGAAGATAACGAATTAAAAATAGATTTTCAAAGCACATCACTGGTAGCATTTTGAATAAAGATAGGTGGTAAGTATCCATTGCTATCAGAAACCGAATTGAGAATATTGATCCCATTTGCAACAACTTATAGATGTGAAAGTGGATTTTCGACAATGGCTTCAATGAAAACAAAAGCAGGGAGTCGAATGAACTTGGAGCACGACTTCCGATGTGCATTAGCAGAAACTGAACCAAATATACCAGAAATTGTTAGTACTAAGCAATATCAACCGTCCCATTGATGTATATTGCCTCTTGATTACATACAATGTTGTAACAAACAACTGTTTTCTTTCTTTTATTGATCGGGAGTCACTCCACAAAGCTATCAGTTCCCACACTTAGAAGCAAACAGCGCAATAGTTATTCGTTAGTTAGCGTTTGAAACGGAAATTGGGGAGGGGCGGGTTGATTATAGCAAACCCCATTTGTGAGAGCCTCAAAAATGTTAAGAATCGCCAGTGTACAGCAACATGCGTTAAGGATAAGTGTGATAACGCTTTCTAACAGCACCATCAAAGCCGCGTTCAGGACATCAGCAAGAATACTTTGAACGCGGTACTTAATGAAAGAAACTCATGGATTTTCTTTGCACTACAACGGGGGTCTCGTTTATTTGCATGATCGAAAGTAATTACATATGGTACTCATCTGTCGTAGTTTAAAGAAAAAATGCAGTAATTACTAGCTAAGTGGCTTTAAAAAGTTTGGGGGTAACTGCATAAAGTGAACCCGCTTTGGGGGTAACGGCCTCCAAAAAGTTGGGAACCAGTAGGTTAAGCAAATGTTTCTTTTACCCGTCATAAACAGTGTTCCATTTTGGCCAAGATCAAACAGCGTGTGCTGCGCCGTCCCATTTACCAGCCTCGTTATAGGAAGTACACGTATAATGCTGTCTGTGTGAATAAAGTCAACCTATTGGAATTCAGCCATGGGATTGAGAACGATGTCCGAGTAAGCATGACCCCTGGGTGAATGCGACCAACAACGAGAGAATGATCTGGGCTCAGATGGACCGAAATCCGCATGACAGTGATGAATCTGGTTTAGGGGTGCAGCACATATCAAAACTTCGGGTATCCGGTATGCGTGCTACTGCAGACTATTGGCATATCTAGTTCAAGATGCGAACCAGGGGGCGTGGTTTGACGTCCGGAGACTATTAGACAATACTAGAACACGGACGTCGATGGCAGGACTTCACTGGAACAGCGGATTTCTCTGTGGGTTACGAATGGAAGATAGGTGATGTGGACGGAGAGGAGTAAAAGAAGAATATATGTGGCCTGTTTTCGCTTAAGAGCTTGTTGCGAAAGTGCTGAGAAAGTGAGTCTTAAAACTGTGCAACAGTTAACGCAGGGTTAGGATGGATTTCGGTGGATAAATAGTGATTGAACATGGGCTGCAACCCCCCCCCCCCAATGGTCTATAAACTTGGGCTGGAAATTAACTGGGGTCCTCATCGAAGACATTTCGTTCAGACGCATGACCGCAGGCAAAGAGATTCGATAACCGTACAATGTGGCTCAAGCCTATGGAAATGAGTCCTTTTCCAGACAAGTCAAGTGAAAATAAGTTTTATTCACTAGGGTAGATATATTTTCAGCTCTCATGAGTCTGGGTCTGCATGACATATAACCGTTAACCAATCTATAAGAACAAGGCATTACCCCAATGGCTCGGAGAAGTATACAAGTCGCATCACATTAAGGACCAATCTAGTCGCGGAGGTTTATTTCTTACGAGTGTGGCCGCCTCTCGATTTATAATTGTATGGCAGCTGTGCACCAGCACAAAGTACGAATGCAATGCTGCGGCTTGTGGAGATTATTGGGCGCTGACATGAGCAGTGGCTGTGGTTATGACAAGTTTTGAGGATCACAGTACACAAGGTTGAGACGAAGGATAAGATGCAACTTACCAGAGACTCAACTGTGGGAGAGACAAAGTGATAAGCTGGGAAAAAGTGTAGCTGAATTGCTGAAGGGACTTTGAATCATGGAATCCGTTGATTAAGTAGCGCACACTTACCAGCTTGCTCAGTGGGATACGACCACAAGGACACGTGAAACATCGTGAGGGATCCAGTGCGCACGGCTTACATTCTCCAGTATGACATATATCTGGGCAACTGTGATTTCCACAAGCCAGCGGCTGTCCGCAAATACCACCACAAGAAAAAGAGGGCGCGACAGACACCGCTGGCGGCTCAAGCAACGGAGCGAGGGGTGTTTGGGTTTCAATTGCATCACAAGTGCTTTGAGCTTCGTGGGTTTTTGGGGCGGGGGTGGAGACGGCCATAGCAGGTGAATCGTTTACTTCAAGAATCGAATCACTGTTAGTAGAACAGAGCGTGAGAGACTTGTCCAATTTTGTAACAAGTAACCGTTCATCGGTAGAAGAGTGGAATTTCGCCATGGCGGTGTAAATTTGTTCCAAAGTATCAGGCGCTAGATTGAGCTTTAGAGCATCATCACCACCACAGGAAAATCTGTTGTGTTCCTTCCCACAATAACAACCTGCGAAAAACAATAAGTAACAGGTCAAAGTAAAGTTTCCGAGTAACAGTAATTCGAAAGGAGTTGGCCAAATCGGCATGGAATGCAACGTAGCACTAAATATGACGTGGGAGCAAATCGAGGTAGATAAGAAAAATTAGACATAAGCGTACCTTTATAGGACCTCAGGACTAGGTGGGGACGCTACAGTCATACATCAGAGTGAGAAACAAACAATCGCAGATTAACTTTGAAAATAAACCAAGCATTTTAGTCACGGATAGGAGTTAACCATGGCTCGTGTAGCAAGTGTAGTGGGACCAGTTGTCGTAACAAACTGAATCACTGTGATAATACTTTTAATGGTAATAACAACAGAGGGAAAGAATGGGAGGGGACAAAATAAGCGGCCAATTAGGAAAAGCGGGCAGAATATGTCAAAGTTAACGGGTGAAAAATACCGAAGTTGTGATCAAGGATACAACAGGGGGAGATAAGAAAAAACCTCGGGCATGTATGGAGTAAGTGAGTAAAATGAGAGTTAAAACAATGCTGAGAAATAAACTAAGGTTGTCAAGTGAAATTTCACTGCTAATAATAATGATAATAACAAGTAATGCGTCAGCTGTACGTCGTAACGGTGCTTTGCTGCTTTGCAGCTACCACCAGTCGCATGCGGGCTGAGTATACCGTGAGGACGCCTACACCCACGTGGATTCGAACCCGACCCGCAAGATTACGAGACAAGCTCGTTACCTATAGGCTACGGGCCGACATTGATGGGCCAAAGCGTTACCAGTACTGTAAGAGTACTTACTGGCAGGTGCACCCTTACGGATCACAGTGAATATGTTTCCAGTCAGTACTGTTTCGACAAATTCAGGTAGCACCATAATGTAAGAGGGAGTCATGCGGATGTGTTTATGGAACACGTTTGTAGCTGTTCGGGAGGCTTATGTGTGAATCACAGCCTCCAAGCGCGCTGCGTAATGAAGTCGAAATTGGGAAACGCCTATTAGAGTAAAAGCACACGGTGAGAGTGAGATATCATATGATCAATAGACAGAGGTGAAAATCTGAGTGTAAAAGAATTCGGTGGAACGTTTAGCAGATTACTGCTGGATTTAACCACATGAGTGAGTGAGTGAGGTAAACTATCAGCCATGAACCAAGATGTGCGAGGTTTCTGGGGAAAACAGAAAGAGGTTATTAAACCAGGTGAAGTGATGAAATCAATAGTTTTAAGGACAGCATTAACAAACTTCTGGGTAGTGGCGCCGGATGGGCGACACATTGTGGCAGCAATAAATGATATACAAAACAAAGCAATTATCCCTATGGATGCTCTGTATCAAAGGACTCCAACAGATATCGGCCGGTGACCGTGGTCTGCGCGCCTGGTTTGCAACCATAAGGTCACCGGTTCGAATCCGCGTACGAGTGGGCGTCCTCGCGGTATAATCAACCTGCGCGTGAGTGGAGGTGGTCGCGTGGCAGCGAAGCGACGTTACGGCGCACAGCTGGCGATTTATTTTACTTCAACAGATTAAGATGGAGACAGTGAGTCAACTTGACAATTTCTGCCTCACCAATACCTGTAACAAACAATCGCGGATGTCAGATTCAGTGAAGTTGCGTTGGATCGCTCATGAAGAGTTGACACTACTGCCTAAGCCTCAGCTTCAACTTAGGATAGTTGATGGTACGTGCAAAACATTAAACCAAACTGCAGATGTAGCTAAGCGACCCTAAAGCAGATCACTTGGGAATGAAGGGCTGTTTTCAGGCGACCAACACCCAATTTCTATCAAGGTACTTGTGTGTCGCACTTGGTTCTGAAAGCAGTAACTACTGCAAAGCCATATAGTTTAAACAAATAACAACTTCCCTGCATGCAGATTAGCAGTGCATCGGATCCACGATTTAGCGCTGCTTACAAAGGCACATAAGCGGACTAACCAAGTTAAGAATGTAAAGATGCATCATACAGTGCAGAGTGACGTCATCCAAATCCCTTCGCTACATGCAGCAACCGGTAGCAAGATCAGGAAAGTTGGTGGTGCGATGCATGCACTTTACACAGGGCACCAGATTAGTTTCCATAAGGTCAAGATCTTTAGGAGGCAGTCGTGAACGTCGTCGCAGATGTTAACTGTTGAGGTGGGCAAAATCGCTGAAAACAATAGCTGCATGAATAGTGTGAACGAAGTACCCAGCGAATAACCCTAGTCCGACCAGTCTGACGAACGTCAATGTATCTTGCATTCATTACCGAGACCTTAAGTGTTAGTGCGATGCACGATTAACTCTCTGGAATAATCTCATTTTGGCTACACCGCTTGAGAGCGAGTAACACCAGAACGCGTCACCAGAGATGACCCTCCGAGTACGAAAGTGACAGCCCCATGATTTAGGCTCCTGTGATTGACAGTATCACTTCCAATGTGCACTGATTCACCTGGCCTAACAAAGTTGTGTCAATACGTTGCCCAAGTATAGCTTAACTGACTAGAGTTCCCGTGCTGTTCTCTCCCAAGTGATTGGCTTCAAACTCCTTTGAAACTCTGGTGGTGCGAAGAGTTCGATGGAACATGGGAACGATCGTGAGAACGTAACATATAGGAGTTATCTCACGAAGTGGATGCGGATGCGAGTGCGTAAATAGGACCACCGTAGCAATGGATAACCCATTAATTGCTGATTGCCCGTAGGGACAAAAAGTCGACGAGATCAAATGATCAATAAAGCGTAATGTGGTGGATTTTCTTTGCAGAAGCGCCAGATGCTCGGGCCAAAAATGAAAACAATGTCAAGCCGTGTAAAGAAATTCATGAGCGGCACTTGTGAGTGGACGACCCTGGTGAATACCCAACGAATGTGGAGCCTTAACGGTGGCTTCCGGTCGATGCCGAATTCGTGGTGCTCTAGTGGCGTTGGAGATATAACGAGGGAAGAGAAACAGGTAAACACAATGACTCGGTATCTATTGTTAGTCGACTTCTCCAAACATCGATGCTTTTGGGCTGTTGAGGTTCCGCTCTTGACTCACTAAAACAAATAAAGGTGAAGTTCAGTCAAGTAGCTGGGACACATATGTGGACGACAGCACACGCTGCGTCTAACGAGTAAATCCTTTGGATTGGCTACCCTTTGGCTGATTGGTTCGTTGCGTGAGATCATCTACTCACTACGGCTGGACACTCATGTTACGGGTACCAAGCCCAAAACAATATTGAAGATGCGAGTGTTTTTAAACGCAGTACCCGGTATGGTATAAAGATCAGCACCGTGCCGCGTCAATCTGCAAGTGGGTAACCCCAAATGAGTGTGCTGTGCCTCATAGTCAGATATGGCAGCAGATGGACAAGCGTCACTCTTGTCGTAGAAACGTTAACTGGACGTGCGGGTAACATATAAATGATTTGTCCGCATGATCCGGTAGGTGGTTTGCGTGCACATTACTAACTTGGAAGTGGGTGGTCAGTAGGCCAATCAGAACTCATGAACGGCTAAGGGATACGGTATGACGGTTATGCGCATACATCAGTACGGCACATTTGCAGCATTGTAAATTATGATATTCCAGTGCTTCGAAGATGCCATCAAAAAGTAAGCAGTTTAAAATCAACGGGGGTACACGCTGGTTCATTTGAGAGAAGTGAACACAAAAGTGTATTGATGACGGTGAACATCACCTGTTTCAATGATCCAAATGCACGGAGGGCAGAGGCCCTCGTGACACGCAAATAAACAGGTGTGTATTTTACAAGCACAACGCTCAAGCGGTTTGTCGATGCTGCCCAGCTGACGGCCACACAACTGTCCACAAGGTGCAGGCGGCTTGTCACCACATAACGCTGCACGCTGAACTCGACCACAAGGACAGGACATTGAAACACTGGCGGTGCAAGGAGGACATGGTCCAGGATGGCACAGTCTGAGACAACAGGAGGGAGAAAGGGCATGTGACTAAATTATTACTCGGTACTAATTAGACGAGGCTTGTACATCACATGAATACGCGCGACACAGTTGAGCATGTCGTCCGTTTGTTTTAGTATAGGACACCCGATGAAGTAAGCGATAATCCAAGTGGAAGAGGAGGGATATGCAAGCGCATTGGGGCATTTTTTCTACAACCTGCACCAAATAGGGATTCTAACATGTGCGGGTTTCGAGACAGAAGATGGTGCGGAAACTCATGTCAAAGCACAGGATACAAATATCCTTAAAGCAGGGGTGTCCAAACGTTTTGTAAGGCCACATCTTGTGAGGTAAAAATATGGCGGGCCATATTCAGTCATGGTGTCCTTAATTGTTTTGTAATCCATTTAATGTCATCCGTACGGAAAAAATCCAAGCTTGCTTATGTAAGTTCATGATAGCGCCGCGGGCCAGCTGGAATGTTAACGCGGGCCGCATTTGGCCCTGCTATAAAGGATCACAAAGTAGACCGGATGGACATAAAAATATGGTAGACTAGGATGTGGTTGTAAGCATGCAAACCATATAGTGAAGAAAACGAGAGGAAGTCGATATGGCAAACATGCTTTTGAAACTGGAATGGCTTACACAGGGTACTTGAAACCGCTAAGGTGGGTAAGATTAAAATACGTTTCATCCGAACGATGGCAGACATTCGCTGCCTTATTGCGACTCAATGGAAATGTTGTAAAAGAAAAGCTAATCAGGCGGTACCGCGATCCAAGATGGAGGACACTAGATAAGGTATTAAGACATGAAGAAGCTATTAACCACGAGTCTAAAGCATATCGGGCGTACACTGTGCCCCGCAAGTCTATGTGAGAAAGGAGGAGATTGAAACAGAGCCGGAAAATGCATTGTGTTACAAAGCAATGAGGTCAAGGTAGGCGATAAGATAGAAGAGATCTCGCAAGTGGGACTGAAGAAATATAACCAGTAACGGTGCACTCAGAACGGAAGCAACCATAGTACTCATCGATGAAGCATAAAAACACAATCTTTTAAAAATCACGCTCAGCAGAGGACGGGTACTCTAATCGTCACACATCTCCGCTACCTTAAACGAATACGATGGTGACAAAAGGAGTCACAGAGAAGAAAATCACAATACATACTGAATGTTGAAATTAGAGAGCGAGAAGTGATAAATCTGTGTTGCTCTATCGTAGGTGGATCGGGCACCTGCGCGGAATCATGTCGCTGATCCTGCGTGGTGGCAGCATATTACAACTGCCCTACATCTTATCCGGGTGCGACACACTCCCAATACCCGTAATCTGTAAAGTGGGTGTAGAGGAATCGTTTAAATTCCAACATCGATTTCGTTTCAACTATTGTCTCCGGCAACTTGTTGCAATATTTCATCGCTCGACGCTCGGAGCATAGAGAGTGAGCGATACGCTTTAAATCCGGTAGCATCAGTTTGTACTGGTGTCCGTGTTGGTGCTCAGTGCGCGAATTTATAGCAGCGGCCTCAACATAGAGCAGTTGCCCAGGTGCAATACCCGATGCGTCATTATGAGATCAACTCGAAGCCGACGATATGACTGGATGAACAAGCCTATTCTTCTACATAGACACATCAATAGAACTAGTTCGCTTGTTGTCTGCTTCGAGCTGCATTGGAGGGAACCTGGAGAAAGACCACGATGTGTCAACGATAAAAGCTGGCCTTTCACAACCGTACCCGAAAGGGAACATAGAAAACCCAAGGATAAGGAATATCAATGACCGTCGTCAACAATGGAACAATTTGAGTCAATAGCCAGTATCGAATTGTATGCATGCGAAAGGTTTGAAAGAGTTCGCGGAAACAGAAACCGCATACATCGTATACGCTCGAATTCCGTCGCAGTGAAAGTTGCAGAAATGCACAATTTGCGGAGCGACACATGTAAATGCAGTACACTGCGATTATTGCTTAAAATTGACGAACATAAGAGAGCGCAGCAAAAGAGGGGGGACGGAGAAGTGCGACTGAGACAGGCGGCATAAACTATCTTGGTACGCAGCGCCCGTATGTATATGACCAATCTCCGAGATTGTTGTCAAACAAAGGTAATAAAATTAGGTTTATTTGGGAATGCATACATCAGACTAACAGCCCTTGATAGGGAAGATGAGATAATTAGATAAGTCGAAAAACGGAGGGGTTCCTTAATAGCAAAAATGGAAAAATAAAGAACTGACATGATGTCGAAACGGCTACAAAAGCCAGGTTTCCTTAGCAGTTAGATGGGTTATAGGAATAGTAAGTGCTGTATCGCGTACCATATCAAGTCAATCGAACCTGAAAACACCAAGTCGGTGAAAGGTGTAGGAGTCCTGCAAGCAGAGCCACATGGAAGCGATGTACTGTGAAGTACGGTGCACGTTTGGTGTACAAGGCGAAAGCACACACACACACACACTATACACGTTAGCTAAAGGTGGGAAACACCTCAGCTACTGTGCTGCAATACCTAAAAGAAAAAAGGAACAAAATGCAACAGGTGTAAACCAGCTGAGCTACCGGTAACGGATGGGCATCGTTCCGGTAAGCTATCTACCAGCTACTATGCAGCAGAAAAAATAATTTACTATGCAAAATTACAAAATGCTAACTAATGAGATCGTGGTTGGAGGGGGAGGCTAGGAAGGATGGGGTGGGACAAAGAAACTCACAGCACGAACGCCACTGAGGTCGGCTCCTAGCCATATCAACAAGTGTATCCAGCCAAACGTGTTCATCGTCTTTCGGACCACAACCAGGGAGCCGAGACGCTCCAACTGAGGCCAGATTCGAAGTGAGGGTCTTCATTCCTCTCGACCAAGTCATCGCTTGGCCACCTCTCCTCTTCTTCCATCCACACCCCCGGCGCGCAAACAACACACGTCGCGGGAGTCGGTGGGCTGGCATACCGAGCCATCGGAGCCTGGTGCGTGAAATAACGGTGCTGAGCGGTTCATTTCCTTTTCCTGTGCCGTAAACAAGGCGTCGAACACGCTCGTTGCTCACACGGTGTTCCCACTAGATGTGAGCTAAATTACGAAGGCACCCGTGGTCGAATGTAAATAGCCTCTTTACGTCCGTTGATCTAAGGGGCCAGATTTCACAACCGTACAGTAGGGTCGAAAGTACCGCTGCATTGTACACTCTACCCATCAGGGCAAGAGTGATGTCGCGCCGGCGCCATACGTGGCGAAGGTTAGCAAAAGCGCCTCCTGCTTTCGCTATACGGTTCGTGATCTCATCAATCCCACGGGCGTTGATACAACTTCCCAGGTAGTTGAATTTTTGAACGACTTCTAGCTGATCCTCACCATGGGTCGGCGTAGGAGGTGGTCCAGGTCAATCTTGGAGGAACGCTTTGAACTTCGATGGTGCAAAGCAAAGCCCGAAATGACAGACAGCCAGTGCTAATCTGTCGTGCCGCTTGGCACGTTTGTGAGCTGTCACAGATTAGGGCAATATCGTCAGCACACTCTAAGTCAAGAAGTCGTTCACCTGGGAGCAGATCCACACCTAAATCGTGTCCTGTGAACGCGATTTCCATGACTACGTCAATAGCGAAGTTGAAGAGAGAAGGTGACAGCGGGCATTCTTGTCTCACACCGCTGGAGATATTAAAGGGCGACGACAGCTTGCCGTAAACCCTCACTCTACCCGTGCTACGCGCGTATAAAGCTCGGATAATATTTACATATTTCTCAGGTACACCTCTCCTGAGTAGACAGTCCCAAAGTGCACGTCTATCCACCCAATCGAATGCACCTTTGATATCGAGGAACACGACAACGGTGGGCTGCCAATATATATGACGGTGCTCCAACAACTGACGCAAGGTGAAGATGTGGTCAATGCAGCCACGACCTCGACGAAATACGGCTTGCTCTTCACGAATATGGCTTTCACGAGTGACAGTCAGTCTGTGAAGGATAACAGAGGCAAGCAATTTGGAGGCGATGCAGATCAGACTGATTCCTATATGGTTGCCGCATTCCGATAGTGAGCGTCCCATGAAAATTGGGACTATGACGGAGCGGCTCCAGTCGGTTGGGACAGATTTCTGCCCCCACAATTTCACTAGTAACTTAGTTGCTCATTTGTTCGCCGACCTGGGAGCTTTGTTTGCAAACGTTTCACCGCCATGCGACGCGGCATCATCATAGCGTCGAGAGGTGGTGTAATCTCGCTGATTGAATTGTCGCTCGGTGATCGGCGTGCAGGTGACTTTTCGAAACTGACGGCTTCGATCTGTGTCACCTGATCTCCACCCATTTCCCCGTGGCGGAAGTCGTCACTCGGGTTGTTCCTATTCAAGCGGCGTCTCTCTCTAAGTTCCGAAACTAGTAACTCGTATAAATCATCCACAAGAGCTGGTCCCCCGAATTTGAAGAGAGCTGGAGGTAGATCATCTGGTCCCGTGGCGTTATTTAACTTGAACAGTCCGATCTCACATTCGACTTCTAAGCGAGATGGTGGATCCAAAGGGACAGCCCAGGGAGAGGGGCGATCATTAGCCGACGAAGAATCGAACAATTCTAGCCAATTAAATTGCTTTTCAAAATGCTCAGCCCAACGCTCCAAGCGTTTTGACAAGTTGTGGATAGGCTGTCCACTCTCGTCACGTATAGTTTCACTAACACCAGGTCTCCTGCTGCTCGTTTCCCGTATCAGCCAGAATAACTTACGATGGTGATCAAGGACAGCGGCCATTTCCATCTCCGACTCACGATGAGACCATCAGGATTCGCGGTCTCTCTTCAGGCTAGCACGAAGTCTTGCCCGGAGCTCTTTGCGAGTTTCATTGTGTTCGCTTCCAGTCGGGATATGCCGGAGAGCATCGATAAGTTCCAGAGACCGCGAAGAGACCCACTATCCATGTTGGCTATTAGACACACAACATGAGGATTCACCTGCTGCTAGTAAAGACTGGTGAATATGAGACCAGTGACCTTCAATTGTCTCCA